TTCAGGTGCAAGTATTTGCCACGTGTAGGTGAAAAACCTTTCAATCAAAGAAACACAAAACAGAAAAAAAAAGTTTAAAGTCCGTACACAATGCAAATGCTATTGCAAATCACCAACAGAAAATAAGTATACAAAAAAACAGAAAATAAACACTTAAATATTGTGAAACCCAATTACAGTACAGGCCAAAAGTTTGGACACACCTTCTCATTCAATGCGTTTTCTTTATTTTCATGACTATTTACATTGTAGATTCTCACTGAAGGCATCAAAACTATGAATGAACACATGTGGAGTTATGTACTCAACAAAAAAAGGTGAAATAACTGAAAACATGTTTTATATTCTAGTTTCTTCAAAATAGCCACCCTTTGCTCTGATTACTGCTTTGCACACTCTTGGCATTCTCTCCATGAGCTTTAAGAGGTAGTCACCTGAAATGGTTTTCCAACAGTCTTGAAGGAGTTCCCAGAGGTGTTTAGCACTTGTTGGCCCCTTTGCCTTCACTCTGCGGTCCAGCTCACCCCAAACCATCTCGATTGGGTTCAGGTCCAGTGACTGTGGAGGCCAGGTCATCTGCCGCAGCACTCCATCACTCTCCTTCTTGGTCAAATAGCCCTTACACAGCCTGGAGGTGTGTTTGGGGTCATTGTCCTGTTGAAAAATAAATGATCGTCCAACTAAACGCAAACCGGATGGGATGGCATGTCGCTGCAGGATGCTGTGGTAGCCATGCTGGTTCAGTGTGCCTTCAATTTTGAATAAATCCCCAACAGTGTCACCAGCAAAACACCCCCACACCATCACACCTCCTCCTCCATGCTTCACAGTGGGAACCAGGCATGTGGAATCCATCCGTTCACCTTTTCTGCATCTCACAAAGACACGGCGGTTGGAACCAAAGATCTCAAATTTGGACTCATCAGACCAAAGCACAGATTTCCACTGGTCTAATGTCCATTCCTTGTGTTTCTTGGCCCAAACAAATCTCTTCTGCTTGTTGCCTCTCCTTAGCAGTGGTTTCCTAGCAGCTATTTGACCATGAAGGCCTGATTGGCGCAGTCTCCTCTTAACAGTTGTTCTAGAGATGGGTCTGCTGCTAGAACTCTGTGTGGCATTCATCTGGTCTCTGATCTGAGCTGCTGTTAACTTGCCATTTCTGAGGCTGGTGACTCGGATGAACTTATCCTCAGAAGCAGAGGTGACTCTTGGTCTTCCTTTCCTGGGTCGGTCCTCATGTGTGCCAGTTTCGTTGTAGCGCTTGATGGTTTTTGCGACTCCACTTGGGGACACATTTAAAGTTTTTGCAACTTTCCGGAATGACTGACCTTCATTTCTTAAAGTAATGATGGCCACTCGTTTTTCTTTAGTTAGCTGATTGGTTCTTGCCATAATATGAATTTTAACAGTTGTCCAATAGGGCTGTCGGCTGTGTATTAACCTGACTTCTGCACAACACAACTAATGGTCCCAACCCCATTGATAAAGCAAGAAATTCCACTAATTAACCCTGATAAGGCACACCTGTGAAGTGGAGACCATTTCAGGTGACTACCTCTTGAAGCTCATCGGGAGAATGCCAAGAGTGTGCAAAGCAGTAATCAGAGCAAAGGGTGGCTATTTTGAAGAAACTAGAATATAAAACATGTTTTCAGTTATTTCACCTTTTTTTGTTAAGTACATAACTCCACATGTGTTCATTCATAGTTTTGATGCCTTCAGTGAGAATCTACAATGTAAATAGTCATGAAAATAAAGAAAACGCATTGAATGAGAAGGTGTGTCCAAACTTTTGGCCTGTACTGTATATTTACATTAAATTACAAATCAAGTGCAAATAAAGTTACCCACTGCTGTAAGTGGTTTTAGCATAGTTTCAGGTAAGTATGAATTTCACTACTTTTTAAATATTTATTGTTGTTTTAAATGTATATTTTAATGTGTTTTTAACTTAAATTGTCTCAATTTCTGTATTTTACCATTAAATGTATTTTAACATGAATTACTTCTTAACCTTAATTACAGATTTTTACAGGCTTTTTAACCTTAACTTTTAAAGAGTTTTAACATTAAATTTTATGGTCAAATTTTAAGAAAGTGAAATTCCAAAATTACACTTTCACAATTACAAAAATGCTTACAATTAAAAGTATATATGAGCATAAATGCTTGAATTGAATCTGTAAATATGAAATGTTTCAAATCATCTTATATTTAAATTGCTCTCCCAATCTACTAATTACTTCTGTGATACACCCAATACAATCAACATACATTCATAATTCACTAAATGTCAAAGTGAAATACTTTAAGATATGCTCAACACATACCAATTTAAATTTACAATTTACACATTACATTTTTAACACATTTCAAAAGTCAGGAGGGAGATTAACAAGCAATCAACGCACACAGACAATCAGTTACCAAGCCACGCATTACTGGGCGTCCGACCCCATGGCTAAGCTAGTGTTAGCACAACCAATTAATCACAATGAACTACCTCCGTGCAAAAACCTCTTCATTAAACAGTTCAGCGTCTTACCGGCTGCCTCTCTGGTGTTTTAGATGCTCTCACTCTGCATTGGCTCACCGCAGGATGCGAAGGATGAGGGAACAGATTTACGCCTGCTGTCTGTGTACCTTTGTTTGCTCTTTACCTGTGATGATGTGCGCCGCCTTTTATGGTCCGGGCAGTAACTGGGCGATGGTGCAAAAGGTTCCTCCTTCTGGTTTATTGTGGAAGTGGATTCTTCAGCCTTGCATGTCTTTTAGTTACTGTTCAGTTCTTTAGTTTATTCCAGTTTGACCTGACACTGATAGTGAAATTAAAACACTGACCAAAAAATACAAAGTCTTTCAAAGTATTAGCTCATATGCATAAACACATTCAAAATTATGTGTAAAAATCAATGCAAAAACACAAAAATGTGTATGCAGGTACAGTAAATGTTAAAGGGCTCAGATATATCCTAAAACAGCTGATCAATGTAGTATTTAATGAAGGTTACCCAAATAGGACGGAATAGTGCATTTGCTGGGGACTATTTTCAGTAATCCACATTTGGTGCTCTAGTGCAGGGGTCCTCAATGTTTTTCAGGCCAAGGACCCATTAGCTTTTCAGTTAATGGGTCCTTGAGACCCATGTCTCGCTTTTCAGCTAATGGGTCCTTGGCCTGAAAAACATTGAGACAGAGCAGGGACCCCTTACTACATATGTCGTATAAATTGCTTAGCATATTAAAGGTGGATTGAGATTGTCAGGCAGAAAGCCATCTAAGTCTTACCCGCAATTTCCACATACTCCGTCTGAGCCGCACTGCGCAGTGCCGCGGATCTGGAGCATCCGACAGCGTGTACCCTCGCCTACTGGATGCGTTTCTGGAGCGCCACGCTGCGTAGCGGAGCCGCAAGCTCACGTGGGAACTGCAAAATCACGCAAAAAAAAGCAATTGATAAAGTGTGAGCCAGACCAAAACAATAATTAATTCAGAAGGAGAAAGAGAGAAAACAAGTTTAACTTGAGATCGCTTAGGCTGCAAATACTTGTTAGAAGATACCATAAACTGGAATGACCCATGTCTCGTTCCATGTTAGTGAATGGGAGGGACCTTTGCCAAACTCAAACATCAAAGTACATGTTCAATAAATTTTTTCCAAAGAAGGTTTCTGTCATGCTAGGTAGTTCTTGCAGCTCCACCCCTTACTGTTACCGCACGCCTACCCTCTCCTCAGGACTTCTCTCTCCACGTCGACAGTCACAATGTCACTTCCTCGTATCAGCAACATCACCAGGACATCATTCTTCCATCTCTGCGACATTGCCTGTCTCCGCATCTCCCTCACCCACTCCATTGCAGAAATCCACGCCACAACCTCCAGACTCGACTACTGTAGCATTCTCTATGGTCTTCCCTCTACCAGCCTTCAAAAACTGCAACACATACAGAACTCTGCTGCCCGGTTACTCATCCGCACCCCCTCCAGGGGCCACATCACCCCTGTCCTCAAACAGCTTCATTGGCTCCCTGTCCAATACTGCATCCAATACAAACTCCTCCTCATCACCTACAAAGCCCTCAATAACCTTGCCCCCTCTTATCTCACTGACTTCCTCCACCGCTATTCCCCTACCTGCTGGCTTCGCTCTACTGACTCCAACCTCCTGACCCAAGCACTGAACCTTGGGGGACTGAGCCTTAGCCGCCGCTGCCCCAACCCTCTGGAACTCCCTCCCACTCATCACCAGAAATGCAGACTCCCTACAGACTTTAAAATCACTGTTAAAAACCCTTCTGTTCAAACTGGCTTTTTCCTAGTTTCCACCAGTTATTTTTCGTTTTTCATTTATATTTTATTATCAGTGACATTTTTCAGCACTGCAAAGTGTCTTTGAGTGTCCTGAAAAGCGCTATATAAATCTGATGCATTATTATTATTATTATTGTTATTATTACTATTATTATTAAAGCCTACAGTCATTGGTAGAAACATTCACTGTTGGCTTTTAAAGGAATTGTTGACTAATGGAAAAATATATCATTTTGAAGGATTTGGCAGACCACCTGACCTAGTGTAGCATCAGTTTTAATACTACATTGTCATACAGTTTACTGAGAGCATCATCCTCCCCTTTTTAGACACAGTGTGAGCTATTGTGCCTCTCCCAGGCCAAACTATTAACCCTGCACACATTGTCTTGAAGTAACAGTTCCCTGGTCTATTATAATTACAATCAATCAATCAATCAATCAATTACAATCTATTACAATCAATTTGAAGGAACAAGCTTTTTTGGTTGGAATGGCCCTGAGAGCCTTTTCTCTATATACCATAGTCTTCAGGACAGATTTGAGTATGGGATGTAATAAGCAGCTTTTATCAGGGTTTTAAACATGTTCTCTCATCTTTGTCTTGAAACTTGAGTCCAATCATAGTTATTTCACCACAGGCACATTCAGGCTAAACTATTCAACATCTTTTCATTCTGTGTTTACAGGTATCCCGCCTACCAGTGGGACAGGCACCCTACAGATGTACCTGCTAGACATCAATGACAATGCACCTCATGTGTTCCCTCCTGAGGTGGAAATGTGTGAGAAGCCAGATCCAAACGCCATCAACATCACAGCCAGTGACCCCGACCTGACCCCTAACGCTGGACCCTTTGCCTTCGAGCTAGCAACTCGTCCATCAAACATACGCCGCAACTGGACGCTCAGTCGCGTCAATGGTAAGAATGGGATAATGTGCCCATCTTGTTATATGTCTTCATCCATTCATTCATTCATGCATTCATTCATTCGCTCATCCAACAATAAAAAAATTGGCTCTTTATGTTGTCAGTTCCTGTCAGTGGAAGATGACATGCTGACAGTCTCAGCCTTCCAACTTGATACAGAAGTGATTTGTGTCTCACAGTGATTTACCTCCATATGTAATACTGATATCCAGCTGCCCCTCTGTCAGCTCTGCTAAATTTGTGCTAAATTTAGACTCTCGTGTCTACTTTGCAAGTCTTGGTGGTGCCTTTTTGCCTGATGTTGGATTGTAGATGGTGTGTGGCTGTGAGTCACTCATCAGGATGAAGAAATCAACTCACCAGTCTGTAAACTCTCCTTCTGTCAATTTCTAGCTAACTTGCAGCTAGCTGCTTGCAAGCCAGGTTGAGGTTTTCAAATGTAAACATCACTAAACTGTGAGGAAAGAATGAACACCAGCTGAACTACCATCCTGCTACCCACTGGACAGGTGTAAGGAAATAAACTAGTAAATAAACTGCTGCATCAGTTTCCAATAGGATATCAGGAAATGTAATATCCTTTGATTCGCTGAAACATGGCTACATCTTGGACAGCACCATTCAACCAGGCATCTCATTTTCTATATGCCAGTCCAATGGAGCAGATGACTCTGGGAGAGAAGGAGAGGAGGCATCAATCAATCAATCAATCAATCAATCAATCAATCAATTTTATTTATAAAGCCCAATATCACAAATCACAATTTGCCTCACACGGCTTTACAGCATATGACATCCCACTGTCCTTAGGACCCTCGCAGCGGATAAGGAAAAACTCCCCCAAAAAACACCTTTAACGGGGAAAAAAAACGGTAGAAACCTCAGGAAGAGCAACTGAGGAGGGATCCCTCTTCCAGGACAACCAGACGTGCAATAGATGTCGTACAGAACAGATTAACATAATAAATTAACAGTAATCCGTATGTCACAATGAGACAGAAAGAGAGACAGAGAGAGAGAGACAGAGACAGAGAGAGATGCAGGACAGACAATAGTGTTAATAGCTTACAACAACATTAATGAAAGTAATAATATTATAATTATGATTCTGGCTATTGTGGTACAATATGTTGAAAGTAAATATTAACATCTGATAGTATATGTATGTGACAATAATCATATGTGTATAATAAAAGTAGAAGTATGACTAATGATAACAGCAGCAGCAGGAGGCATCTGGCAGGACCACGGCAGCAGCACAACCACACACGTCACACTATCCAGGCACCGCTGTGATAGAAGTTAACCTGCGAGACAGTGGAGCACAAAGGCTCCGGAGAAGAAGCCGAGTTAGTGACGTGCAGTATGGCCGAGTTAGCAAGATGCAGTAACAGGACATGAGGCATGTGCTTTACAGTGAATAAGGACTGGTGTAACAGTGGTAATGTGAAGTCCTGTCCTGCTCCTGCTGTGGATCACTGCTATACACCATTCAGAGGCTGCTGCAGTGTGGCGCTGCCTGTGTTTGGGTGAAGCGACCAGGCAGCCCTCTTGTTGAGGTTGACCTTGTTTAATTCCATGTGATGAATAAATACTTGATTGATTGACTTGGAGGTACTGACTCTCATCCCAGCTGCTTCCCACTCTGCTGCAAACCGCCCCAGTGTATGCTGGAGGTCACAGTGTGATGATGCCAAAAGAAAGCTTACGACCACATCCCTTGGGGAGTCTTGTGTGGGTACTGTGGGATTATGAGGTACCGGGGTACAAGCCATCTGGTGACCAAAGTGAGAGCTGCGTCCGCATACCAGGCATAGAGTAAAACATGTTCTCATTGAGTGCCAAAATGCACAGTGAAAAATTTGGGGTGCAACTAAATGAAAAAATTTGGCACGTCAGCCAGGCTGACTGAGAGTCAAAGCTCTATTGAGCCTTGTATTCCTTTTGCCCTTAGCAGTAATGATTTTATCATTATTATCATCATTTATCTTTTTTAATGACAAAATTCTAACTATTAGAGGCAAAATTCATGACCTCCTGTCCTCAGATAGTACCTATCTAACCTCAAACACAGCTGTAAGACCTAATATATATTTAGATTGCTTCTTCCCAATTTCTCTTCAAGAATTGACCGCAGTGATTTCTTCATCTAAATCATCAACGTGTCTCTTAGACCCCATCCCAACTAGGCTACTTAAGGAGGTCTTTCCTTTAGTTAACACTCATATATTAGATATGATCAATATATCCCTATTAACAGGCTATGTACCACAGTCTTTTAAGGTAGCTGTAATTAAACCTCTCCTAAAAAAGCCCACCCTGGATCCAGAGGTGTTAGCCAACTATAGACCAATATCTAATCTTCCCTTTATGTCAAAGATCCTTGAGAAAGTAGTCGCAGACCAGCTGTGTGATTTTCTCCAGGATAATAATTTATTTGAGGAATTTCAGTCAGGATTTAGAGTGCATCATAGCACTGAGACAGCTCTAGTTAAAATTACAAATGACCTTCTGATTGCTTCAGACAAAGGACTCGTCTCTGTTCTTGTTTTATTAGATCTTAGTGCGGCGTTTGACACAATTGACCATCAAATTCTACTGCAGAGACTGGATCACTTAATTGGCCTAAAAGGTTCAGCACTAAGCTGGTTTAAATCTTATTTATCTGATCGTTTTCAATTTGTTGACGTTCGTAATGAATCATCCTTACGTACCAAAGTTTGTTTTGGAGTTCCGCAAGGTTCTGTGCTCGGACCAATCCTATTTACTCTATATATGCTTCCTTTAGGTAACATCATTAGAAATCACTCTATAAATTTCCATTGTTATGCGGATGATACACAGTTGTATTTATCGATGAAGCCAGAAGAAAGTAATCAATTAACTAAACTCCATAACTGCCTTAAAGACATAAAAAATTGGATGAGCACCAATTTCCTGATGTTAAATTCAGACAAAACTGAAGTTATTGTTCTTGGCCCCAAACAACTCAGAGACTCTTTATCTGATGACATAGTTTCTCTAGATGGCATTGCTCTGGCCTCTAGCACTACCGTAAGAAACCTCGGAGTAATATTTGATCAAGATTTGTCTTTTAATTCTCATTTAAAGCAAACCTCACGGACTGCATTTTTTCATCTGCGTAATATTGCGAAAATTAGGCCTATCCTGACCCGAAAAGATGCAGAAAAATTGGTCCACGCTTTTGTTACCTCAAGGCTGGATTACTGTAACTCTCTATTATCAGGTAGCTCTAGTAAGTCCTTAAAAACTCTCCAGCTAATTCAGAATGCAGCAGCACGTGTACTAACAGGAACTAAGAAACGAGATCATATTTCTCCTGTTTTAGCTTCTCTGCACTGGCTCCCTGTAAAATCCAGAATTGAATTTAAAATCCTACTGTTAACTTATAAAGCTCTAAATGGTCAAGCTCCGTCATATCTTAGAGAGCTCATAGTGCCATATTATCCCACCAGAACACTGCGCTCTGAGAACGCAGGGTTACTCGTGGTCCCTAAAGTCTCCAAAAGTAGATCAGGAGCCAGAGCCTTCAGCTATCAGGCTCCTCTCCTGTGGAATCATCTTCCTGTTACGGTCCGGGAGGCAGACACCGTCTCCACATTTAAGACTAGACTTAAGACTTTCCTCTTTGATAAAGCTTATAGTTAGGGCTGGCTCAGGTTTGCCCTGTACCAGCCCCTAGTTAGGCTGACTTAGGCCTAGTCTGCTGGAGGACCCCCCTATAATACACCGGGCACCTTCTCTACTTCTCTCTCTCTCTCTCCCTCTCTCTCCCTCTCTCTCTCTCTTTCATGTCCTATTACTGCATCTTGCTAAGTCGGCCATTCTGGATGTCACTAACTCGGCTTCTTCTCCGGAGCCTTTGTGCTCCACTGTCTCTCAGGTTGACTTATATTGCAGCGGTGCCTGGATAGTGTGACGTGTGTGGTTGTGCTGCTGCCGTGGTCCTGCCAGATGCCTCCTGCTGCTCATACTTCTACTGTTATTATACACATATGATTATTGTAACACATGTATACTATCAAATATTAATATATTATTATTAATTATAATATTATTACTTTCATTAATGTTGTTGTAAGCTACTGTCATTACCGTCTGTCCTGCATCTCTCTATGTCTCTGTCTCTCTCTCTGTCTCTCTCTCTTTCTGTCTCATTGTGTCATATGGATTACTGTTAATTTATTATGCTGATCTGTTCTGTACGACATCTATTGCACGTCTGTCTGTCCTGGAAGAGGGATCCCTCCTCAGTTGCTCTTCCTGAGGTTTCTAGCATTTTTTTCCCCCGTTAAAGGGTTTTTTGGGGGGAGTTTTTCCTTATCCGTTGTGAGGGTCCTAAGGACAGAGGGATGTCATATGCTGTAAAACCCTGTGAGGCAAATTGTGATTTGTGATATTGGGCTTTATAAATAAAATTGATTGATTGATTGACTGACTGACTAAGGTCATGTGATGATACTTGAGGAAGTTCTTTTCACTGAGGAAGACTTTGAGATGTGGTCCTAAGCTCTGGAATCAGACACCAAATGAACCTTGAATTTCTGATATTGTATTAGGTGTTTATTCCCAAGGTCAAGAATTAATCTCTATGCTCAACATCTTAAGATTCAACTTGTATGCAAGACAGAGAAATGATCCACTTTCTCCTCTTAGATTAAAGCTATGTCACAAGGTACATGTAGGCCTGTTGGACTCTGGAGAACACCTGTCTTTTGTGTCAGTAGCTATTTAGAAATGTTGTTGTTTTGGTAAAGCTTCTCATTCTATATCTGTTTCTTGTTTAAGTCAGTATCTTTGAAAATGTGTCATGCAGAACTCTTCTATTCATCAGCAACTACTGTTAAATGCTTGTTTTTAATGCAGAGAGCCCCTGGCAGCTCCAATGATGACCATTAGCCATACAGTGCAGCTCCCAGTAGAATTGAGTGAAAGGACATGACATTGAAGACTGCTGAGGTCAGTAAGTGAGGAATCACCATGCTTGCTTATCAGTTTCTCTGTCTATCTACCCTCCCATCATATTCTAGGAGAGTACGCCCAGCTCAGACTGAGGATTGGCTCCCTGGCAAGTGGGATCTACGAGGTTCCCATCATGATCACAGACTCTGGAAACCTGCCTATGTCTAATATGTCCCACCTGAGAGTAAAGGTCTGCCAATGTGATCACCATGGAGACTGTGTGGACATGGAGCGAATCATCGCCGCTGGACTAGGCACCGGAGCCATCATTGCCATCCTTATCTGTATCATCATACTACTAGGTGAGCCTCACACACACACACACACACAGATTGTTGCTGCTCAGTAGACCTAACAGAATATACAAGACTTTCCTGCTTATACAACATGATAGTGGCAGGCTGAGTGCAAGATGTTTGGAACACACCTCAAACACCACTAATGTAAGCCTAAGAAATGAGCACACAGTTGAATCAAGACAGATCCAACAAACATTGGACCTGAGTTGAGTGGAAACCCTTGACCAGCTGGTAGGGTCCTAACAGCAAACACCAGGCCCAGGGCCCCATTCGTTAGTCTAGTCATGCCCCCCTTTTGTACCACAAGAGGAAAAGCTATCCTTTTACCCCATCGATTGTTTGCATTTAAAGGCAAAGAACTCCCCACTTTTGCTCCATCTGTGTGAATGGAGCTTCTTTAGCAAAGCATAGATTTGCCATGGCAGAGACCCCAGGATCTAATACCATGTGTGATTATCAAGCTGGGTGCAGTTTTTCATGAATTGTTTGCTTGTGAACAAGTAGCACCTTATGTGGTTGGACACTGGGCATAGCACTTTTCAGCTGCTTCCTTTCTATAATGCTACAAGGTGACAACAAAGTGGACAAATTCAGCTCTTACTGAGTGCCTAGCTGGAGTAATAGTGAATGATTATGACCGAGTAATAGTGCAATGAGATTTGCTGTATCAGACATTAAATTTAAAGTGCATCAGCAATGAACAAGACTTTGTTTAGCAAAGGATGAGTGTTCAAGCCCCAGCCTGCTGCATACACTGACTGCAGTACATATTTCAAACAAGGGAGAGCAATCAAGATGGTGCTCTGACTCATAAAGGGTTTCACCTGCTTTTTTTAAAAAGATCAAATTATCATTATTTTTTATTAGGCTGTTGCAATAAAAGAACCTTAACCAATGGGACTTTTTAGAAACAGATCCAGTACTAGAGCTCTGCAGGCTGTAGTGAGCTGTAGCACTACTATATTTGTACTACATTTTAATGACTGCTCATTCATTCAAAACTGTAATAGCACCTCAAGTTGTACAAGAAATGTACAAAGCATCAAAATCATTGTGATGACCATTTTTGAGCACAAAATGCAGGATGAAGATTATGAAGTCCAACTGAGCCTACAGAAGGTAAGTGGAATTACAGCTCCAAGCAGCAAAGCAGTGTAGTATGATCTGCAGTCTGTTAGGATGTTTCCCCAAGTCAGAGTACGCCAACAGGAGTTGGTGTGGTGTTGAAATACAATTACAGGAGTTTCAGAGTAAGGGTAGTTGCTGAATAAAGATAATCGGCTCTAGTTTCCCGGCGCAGCGCAGGGTGGCGAACACCGCGCAGAGCTAGTTTCGAGCAGCGCAACCCGAGGCGCTCTCAGTTTGGTAGTTTGGCAGACCGAGGTGCGCTGAGATGGGTGTGGCGGCGCAGCAGGGGGAGGTGTCGACTGATCCAGCTTGGTGCAGTGACAGTTTCGTGCCAAAAGGCTTCTTCGAAGGTGTGCTAAAAGCTCACCAGCTGAAACCAGGTCTACTTTTAGCGCAGGCGGAGCACAGCCGTGTAAGCCGAAGATTGGCTGACCGGCGGACAGTGCGCACACGTCACCAAAACCTCACAGGCAGGTTTCCAGAATGTCAGGCACATTAACGATGCAATAAATACCCAAAAAAACACTTTTCAATGCTACTATCTACAATCAGCACATAAATGTATCTTTATATCGACTGTCCTGTCACATCTGATGTCAGATCAAAGGATTGGCACCGTTTGGCACGTTTGGCACGCGTAATGGAAACCCAACTTGATTGGATTAACACAGCTGCAAACTTATGAGTTCACATCCCTCTCAGCCAACCACAAACAGCCACAGCATCAGATAGGGAGTATATAATCAGCATCTGTCATCTTAGAAAAGTCAAAAGAAAAGAAACAGAGTGAGACTGTGAGAGAGAAAGAGAGAGCGCATGCGCGCACAAGAGAAACGCAACATTGATTTACAATTGTGGTGACCTCCTCCCAGGCTACCTTTGCATCATCAGCCGTGGAGGTCTGCTCGCAGTTCCGTATATTCGGACACTGCAAGCTTGGACCTCCTGGACCAAAACATCAATTTCCTCCTGTGAGAAGTTTGACCATCTGACGCTGCTGCTCTCTTCTGCCATGGCGAATTGAGTAAACTCTCATTATGCCTTCGCGCGGCGCATTTAAGGGCGAGGAGATAGGATCATTTGATTGGTGTGATGTGAATGGGCTGTGTAAAACCCACTTCATGCCTTCTCTCCTCCCTCTTTCCGACTTGCGCAGCTAGGAGGGACAGAGGTGGGAAAGAGGAGTAGCTGCGCCAGCGCGCACAGTGTGCCAAACTTGCAAAATCCGCCTGGCCACACTCAGTTGGCGAAGCGCAGGTGCGCTGCGCCCCCACCTTGCCCGGTCTGCGAAACTAGAGCCCGAAGTGTCAATTTAAGGCTGACACATCAAACCAACTTCAGAGAATTATTGGCACCGAAAGCCACCTGCTGCGTTGCCTCAAATAACCAGACCTCAACCAAAAAGTTGTGCATGAACACACCAGAAGGGCTACAACCGATGTCCAACCAGCACATATATACAGCGCCAGTCTGTTATAGTCATTCAAAAAGGGAAATCAGAAGACTGTCTTGATGCTAGCTAGCCAGTTAGCACATAAACCGAATCACAACTGGGTGGGAGATTCTGGGGCAACTGTGGTCCATACCCAGCACAGACAATACCCAGAGTGAGGTTAACTCTTAAGAAGATGTTCTTGGGTAATCTGAAAGACACCTATTTCAGTTGATCAATGTCTGTTAGAGAATCTGTGCCATCAAAATGAAAGATTCCGATTGTTAATGACATCAGAGGCCTTAAAGGTGACACAAGAAGAAATAATATATGAGATTTGGATTAATAGGTTCTCAAGTCACCACCACTTTTAAATGAAAATTGTTGAAAAAGTTAATCCTTGTTTTAAACTGTTTTAAAATGTCTTTTCATATTAAATTACCTTGTTTGGCTGTTTTATGTTCATTATATCTGTTTTCATGTGAAGCACTCTGTGCTTATAATGCCCTTATTGTAAAGCACTATGTGCTGTATTTCTTATATGAGAGCTATATGAAAGGTGCTATATAAATAATGTTTATTTTTAGCCCTACTCTCAGCTAAATATAAACTAATTCAAACCAGATGTGGCTGCTACAAGATAATCATAGCCAGCTGCTATCATCCAAATATGTCATTTATTAAATGATAATTATGATCACGGTTGAGGAATGAACTACATTTCAATCAGTCAATCAATCAATTTTATATATTAAGCCCAATATCTCAAATCACAATTTCCGTCAGAGCAAATTTACAGCATACGACATCCCTCCCTCTGACCCTCACAGTGGATAAATGGTAAAAAATGGTAGAAACCTCAGGAAGAGCAACTGAGGAGGGATCCCTCTTCCAGGATGGACAGACATGCAATAGATGTCGTACAGAACAGATCAACATGATAAATTTACAGTATTCCATATGACAAAATGAGACATAAAGAGAGACAGAGAGAGATGCAGGACAGACAGTAATGACAGTAGCTTACAACAACATTAATTTAAGTAATAATATTATAATAATGATTACGGCTATTGTGGTAAATTATGTGATAATAATCATATGTGTATAATAACAGTAGAAGTACGACTAATAATAACAGCAGTAGACAGTATCAGGCAGTACCACGGCAGCAGCACAATCACGTCGCATGATCCAGGCACAGGCTGATCATATACATATAGATATGTCAGTCATTTTGTGAAACCTTTTGATATTTTCTGTGCTGAGTGACCATATGAAATTCTCTCTCATTTCTGCAGTGCTATCTCTGTGCATGTAGGCTGTTATTTCTCTGCTCATCCAAAATTTTAATGTAGAGGTCACTTGGTGGGCAGCCACATTGCCTTGAAATTTTCTGGCTTCATATGAGCTTCCTTCTCCTATCACTTTTTGATCAGTTTGTGTGGTGTTTAAGGCTACATTGCAAAAATAGCTCTTTTTACTGGAGTCACTTAAAAAACATGCACACAAGTGTCGCATAAACTTAACAGTAATTGGTCTTGTATTTATACAGCACTGTTTTAGTCTTCCTACCACTCAAAGTGCTTTTACACCTCATAACACCTGCTACTCAGTTAAACATTCACGCACACTCACACACCGATCAGGAGCAGTTGAGGTTCGGTGTTCTGTTCAAAGGAAACTTTGACATATGGACGGAGGTTATGGGGATCTAACTAATTGATCTTTTGATGAGTAGATGACCTGCTGTACCTCCTGGGACACAGAACCCCACCCCCACCCTACCTGGAACTCCATCCTTTGTATTAACAGTCCAATGTTCTTTTCTTTCCTATGGTGAGGTGCACAGAACATTTAAGGGGTTTTTTGTTGTTGTTTTTTGTTGCTAGTGGTGCTGTGGAATGTCTTCAGTAAGGCTTACATCATATATTGACCTTATCTTCTCTTGTCACACTTGTCCTGCAGTGCTGGTGCTGCTGTTTGTGATGTGGATGAAGAGGAGAGATAAGGAGCGTCAGGCCAAGCAGCTCCTTATTGACCCAGAGGATGACGTCCGAGACAACATCCTTAAATATGATGAGGAGGGAGGAGGAGAGGAGGACCAGGTACACACACACACACACACACACACACACACTGTAAAAAGTTAAAACAACAACTAAAAAAGACAGTAACAGTTACAAATAAAGCTGCAAGCAGCTGTGATCGGGCCCTCGCTCTCCCATGTCAACGCGGGGGGCCAGCAGCACGCATCACTGAAGCGGTTATGTGAAAACTCAGAGTAAGTTAACCCTGACATGGTGTGACGTTTCATCTTCCTACCCCAAAAAAACCCCTATGGGGAGGTTTTTTTTGAAAATTTCAAGGGGGCGCTATAGAGGCATTTTGTCCCCCCCATGGCCGACGCCCCTATCAGATGTAAGAGCTTGCCATTCTTGACCTGTGTATCAATTTCGTGAGGATATGAGGTCACAGAAGCCATCTAAAAGCCAAACGTATTTGGTGGCGGCGTCATAGTGGCCACACCCCTTGACATAGAGAAAAGCTTATAATAACAGTCATCAACATCTAAATCATCAATGTGTCTCTTAGACCCCATCCCAACTAGGCTACTTAAGGAGGTCTTACCTTTAGTTAACACTCATATATTAGATATGATCAATATATCCTTATTAACAGGCTATGAACCACAGTATTTTAAGGTAGCTGTAATTATATCTCTACTAAAAAAGCCCACCCTGGATCCAGAGATGTCAGCCAACTATAGACCAATATCTAATCTTCCCTTTATGTCAAAGATCCTTGAGAAAGTAGTCGCAGACCAGCTGTGTGATTTTCTCCATGATAATAATTTATTTGAGGAATTTCAGTCAGGATTTAGAGTGCATCATAGCACTGAGACCGCACTAGTTAAAATTACAAATGACCTTCTGATTGCTTCAGACAAAGGACTCTCTGTACTTGTTTTATTAGATCTTAGTGTGGCGTTTGACACTATTGACCATCAAATTCTGCTACAGAGACTGGATCACTTAATTGGCCTAAAAGGTTCTGCACCGAAAATTTATAAGCTTCGGGGTAAATAATCATGGTATAGTCGTTCTACTGGATTGCATTAGATTACACAGGTGTACACAAAGTGGCCAGTGACTGTATGTTACATACATACCGTATAGACTGTACATACCATAGAGACTAATTTATGGACTGAAGATTTGGAGACAAAGAAGCCAAGGGTGAGTGTCCATGCGCTCCGTGCAAATCCTGTGAGCTCCGCGCCGCAACATAACGGCTTACCGGTCAGGACACCGGCTACAGAGAAGTCCGACTCCAGGTCCAGTAATTTCCTCTTTCGTTGGCGTCATGACTGCCCAGTAGTACCTGGACAACCGAGGCACACAGGCACACAGGTAGCCTATGTGGCGTGTCAGAGGGGAAACAATCCGTTCACATTTCTCTCTTAATGGTCCACAAACCTCAGCGCACTTTAGGGACTGTTCTTTACTTGTCAGGGGAGGAGGGTGGCTGGTTGATTTTTATTTTATTTATTTATTTTATTTTGATCCCCACCTATGTTAATCACTTATTGATGCTGTTTTTGAAGTATGAATAAGTCAGTAAGTAATTCATTCCATTGAAATATCACTGATGTATTATAGAAAAGTGATTTATCTTTTTATAAATGACAAAAGGCACATCTGCCTCATTTTTGCTGTGGTATCCTGATACTACTCAGAACCATGATACTTTCACTGGTATCGTACCGTGGGTCCCAATTTTGGTACCGTGACAACATTAGATGTCACAACCATTCCATTCAGAGTCGCGCAGTGAGGCGGCTCGGGTGCCGCTTAAAAAAGTGTTCCCCCAGTTTTGGGAGTGGAGGAACACTGCTCTCTCAGAGGCCCAAAGTGTTCCCCTATTTCTAATTTTACATATTAAGCACTGGTTATTAGTTTGGCTAAGATAAGTCTGCAAAGATATTGTCACTGCCATTGGTTTGCCTGATATTAAAATAAGACAGAGCTAGCTAACGTGTGCACGTGCGTGCATGCATAATTAAACTACAATTCTTAGAAATGTTTTAGCTTAATATTTGGACAACCACCGTCATTACAATAAATTAAATCTGTGGTCATTTTAGTCTCACAGGCCTACATTAGGCAGGCCTATATTTTGTGCTTTACACTATGTTATATGAAACATTAACCATGAAAATTAACCATGTCATGTTAGCTTGTCGGTAAGGGGGGTAAATAGTGCTCCAAATTTAGGCTAACGTTTAGCATGGAAAACAGGGCATGAGCAAGGGGTCCCTTGTTCTCTTACTTCAAGATACCTGAATGAAAATGTTTTCGTATGATAAGCTTTACCCCTTTACAGACACATCCACTTCACTCTAATCCCTTGCAGTTTTGTGCAAAACCCACACAGTTGCGTGCGGTATTTATGTAATTTCGCCTATTCCATTTTATTATTCCTGCATATTGGGGTCCTTAAACAGTATTACAGTTGGATAAATTGGGGCTGACTGGAAAGCTGTGACTTTTGTGAAGTCAGTGAGCCCCATGTGTTCATGTGTGTGCCATGTGTTTACACTCTTGCCTCATAATAGTCATATCATTGCAGTAATTTCATTGTATATGGTGAGCTGTTTTTGATATTTTATACAGGTGAATTGAATCGAGTGCCTGCTATTGACAATGCAATAAAACATCCATCGGTTAAAAGTAATTTGTACTCTGAGTAGTTTTTGAGAAGAGTACTTTGTACTTTTACTTAAGTATTTTTTGAACACCAGTACTTTTACTTGTAATTGAGTACAATTTAAGCAATGTAACAGTAGTTGTACTTGAGTACAAATTTTCAGTACTCTTTCCACCTCTGTTCCTCAAATAGTAGCTGGGGCTACTATTAACAAAAAAATAATTTGGGACCAGGCTACAAATAGGGGCAGGCTACTATTTGAAGGAGGCTTTTAATAAAAGAAAAAAATCACAGCCAAATTTGAAAATACAAATAATGTATTTTTTTTAATTGTAACAGCAGAAATATTTAGCGTATGTAAACTTGTCTTTACAGTGAAAATGTATATTTTCTATATAGTATTACAAATAAAGTACTATATTATTTACAGTAACAAACTTTACTTTAACAGTAAAAATAGTTTTCGGTGTTTTTGTAAATCACCACTATTTACTATTTACTACACCACAGTGTACTAGTTGTCCTGCCTTGAAACAGTGAATCATCTCATCCCCTGTCCCATCTCCAGCCACTGTGATGCCACAAGACAACATGCCACAAATTAATTTTAAAACTAGGCCACATTCATAATTATGACTATATGAGATATATATATATATGAGTGCGGTGAGGTTTGTGGGCCGTACTGACACAAAGAGAAATGTTAACGGCTCGTTTCTCCTCTGACACGCCACATACCTGCGTGCCGCTACGGCTCAGTTGTCCAGGTACTACTGGGCAGTCATGACACCAACGAAAGAGGAATTTACTGGACCTGGAGTCGGATTCTCTGCGCCGGTAAGCCGTTATCTTGCGTTTTTCAGCTGTTCTCGTGTTTCCTCCTTTTGTGAAGGTCTTCAATCAATCAATCAATCAATTTTATTTATAAAGCCCAATATCACAAATCACAATTTGCCTCACAGGGCTTTACAGCATACGACATCCCACTGTCCTTAAGACCCTCACAGCGGATAAGGAAAAACTCCCCAAAAAAAAAACCCTT